AATGTCAACAAGGAAAGGCTTAGAAACTCTAGAGTTGCACTTCTCTCAAGTCTACCAAGCTGCAAGTAGGTACCACCTGCTCAGATTGCTATTAACAACCAGCAAAGGATCCAAAAAGATGAACCTAAAAAAGATGCAAGGTGACACCTTCAGATGGATTTACAGAGTCTGTTGAAACCATCACTTTGTAGTCATTTGTTGATTTTCTAAGATTTTGGCCTTTTTAAGTATTTTTTAGTGATTTATTTTAATTGGAAGCATCCATCATAAATTATCGACTGGACTCAAACAGACTGGGAATCAATAGCATACATAGCATGTGTATGTGGCAGAGGGCTGCAACAGAAGTCAGGAACAGCTAAAAAAGCAAGGACCATTATAACTCATATAGATCAAATAGCTATGGGAAAAGTCATTAAGAAGCCTCTTCAGTGGGCCCTTTTAGTTTCCTGTGACCTGCACATAAGCAAAATTAATTAAATTGTACTTTTTGCACATGTCAAGTTTGAACTGCTTCTGAACCATTTGACACTTATTACTATTCAACTTGCCAATGAACTGCAGAGAAGGAATGCAAACAATCCAAGAACAGACCATGTAACCCATCAAGGTCACTACTGCAGGTGTCCAACAAAGAAATGAACTATTCTCAAACCAGAAACTGATTCATAATTGGACAGTGTGATGACTATGGGTGGGAAGGAGGGGAAACTAATGTTTAACTGTGTAGCTTTGCGCAGGAAAACCTCAGAGCTGGTTTTATTTCTTCAGTGCCAAAATGGTGTATCCAATAAAGTTTTACCTTGGGGATTATAAAATTCCCGAGAATGTTTACTTTTCTTGGGCTCACTAGTCGGACTGTCGACAACTGTACAGATAGCTGAAGAGCAAAAATTCAAGTAGTGATATGTGAGATAATAGGATACCTCTCCTGCGAAAAAGTAGAAGTTGAGAATATGCAGTGGCTTTCAGACAGTACATCAGACTTCTCCAAATAATTATCTTTCAAAATTGTTGGACCACCATCATCTCTATCCATGCTGACAGGTTACCAGGAATGCATTTTTCAATTTTTCGCTCTTCCCTGATAGTCACTAATGCTCAATTCACAACAGACACCTGTAAGATCATCCAGGCATCTCAGTTAATATATAAAAGCTGTCCCTATTAGACCTGTGTCATCACAGAAACAAGTGACAAATGCAATAAACTGCTAGTGTGGATATCTAATGAACTGTTCATCATGACCTCATTATAGGGTTCTTTAAAGCATTCCTTGAGATTGCGACTATCCCTGAAAAGTATTCAGAAATTGCCATAGATAGCAAAAAATGAGGTAGCTGGATTGCTGAAGGGTGCAAGGCATTGGATCATACTGTATGATGCACAGTATTACGCTATCAGTTGCCTATGGACCGAATTTAAGGTGCTGATACTATTTTTAAAGCTCCAAATGGTTTGGAGACTAATAGCCTTCTCATTATATACTTGCATATCTATTTAGATCAATGTGAGATGCCTTCAAAGCAGGGGTGAAATCCAGCAGGTTCTAAAAGGTTCTAGAGAACCGGTAGCGGAAATTTTGAGTAGTTCGGAGAACTGGCAAATAACAGCTCTGGCTGGCCCCAGAGTGGGGTGGGAATGGAGATTTTGCAATATCCTTCCCCCAGGAGGGGAGGGAATGGAGATTTTGCAGTATCGTTTCCCTGCCATGCCCACCAAGCCACACCCACAGAACCAGTAGAGAAAAATTTTGGATTTCATCCCTGCTTCAAACGATGCCTCTGTTGCCAAAAGCTCAGCTATTAAGTATATAGGAATTGGCTTCTCCCCTGTGATTTCCTGTCTATGGTATTTTTTCTGTAGAAACTCTACATGCCTGGGAATTAGGAAACAGACTAAAAATGCATCTTTGTTTTCCAAACTGTTAATTTTAATGGCTGATTTTAATGCAGTTTTATTTTGAATGTTTTATTGTTATAAAGTTGGAACAAACATAAAAATCCAATAGTAAATCAAATAAAATATTAATGATATACTTTCCCATATGTTTTTCTTAATCAATATAAGTTTGACTTTGCAATGTGACATCAATAGATTAGAATATGTTGCATTACATTGTTGTCCATAAGTTAAAAACATATGTATAATGTAACTAGGGATCTGGCCAACAGAGCAAGTTAAACTTGGGATGCCAGAACTCAGCAATTAATTATCCTTAACTTATTCATTTCTCTTAACTGCACTTCAGTAAATCACTATCTTGTCAGTTACAATTTTAAGATATTATTACTGAATAAAGCTTTGGAGATGTTTGCTATGTCAGCAGAATTATTATTTAATTCCAAAAGGATATTCCAAGCTGTCCTTTTTTCTTGTAAAATACCAGTGATAACTGCATGCATTTTACATAAATCAGCATAATCTATTGTGCACATATCAAACTGTCTTGAAGGGAGAAAAAAATACATATCTGCTATGTTTACTGGCAAAAGTGGATACAACCTACAGCATGGGAATTGCCAAAGTGAATTGAAGGATATATCTGCTACAGATTTAATGAATCAATAAATAATTTCTTCTCCCGGGGCCATCCTATATGCTTCAAGGGAGGATGGTTTCAAGCATTGTTTTTCTACAACGTTTGTTGAAGGAATCATGTAGTTTGGTGGGTACAAATTTATTGAAACATGGAAAGCTCAATATACAGTACATGATACTTTGAGCCACATCTAGCTAGTTTGGAATATTGGTTAAGACACGAAGCTAGAAAACGGGAGACTGAGTTCAAGTCCTGTTTTAGCCTTTAAAGCCAGCTGGGTGACTTTGGGTCAGTCACTGTCTCTCAGCCCAATCCACTTCACAGGGTGGTTGTTCTGGAAAATAGCAGGAAAATAGCAGCAGGAAGGAGTATCGTGTGTGTTTTCCGCCTCAAGTTATTTGTAAAAATATAAATAAATAAACCCCCAACCACTTTGTGAAAATGGCCATTGTGTTGTGATGGCATAATATTTGTGGAGAAAAAGTATATTTGTGTAAAGAGAGCAAGAGCGAGAGAGAATTGGGCCATTTTCACATTAGCTAATATTTACAGTGTCTTACAGAATCAGCCATCTATGGTTGAGGCAGCGTATCACTAATTATGACTGGCATTACATTGTCATAGCAATAGTTGGGTGGTACTATAAGATATTACAGATGACTAATAGGGAAAAGACAGGAGATAGAGAAGAAAGTGATGAAATTATGACTGAGGAGATTGGTTGAGAGAAAGGTGATGTATGAGTCAAGAATTAATTGAACAGGATTAACTTGGATAATTTTCCTGGAGAAACTAATTTCCAGGTGATCTCCAGGTAATAAATTGATTTCAAAAGACTATACATTGAAGTCCTTTGAGAAAAGGATGGCCTTTTATGAGGTGGATTTTCTAGCTTAAGCAACACATTTGGTTCCAATTAATAGTTTGTATTCTATTGAGAGTCAATCAACTTCATCCATTTGCTTTCTATGAAACACTTGTTTCCAATGTTTTTCAACTGTCTATGGCTATGTTTGAATGATGTGCAGTCTTCCTTTCTCCTTCCTTATCATCATAGTATCAAGCCTAGCTGGACTTCTGTCCCACATGTCACTTTTTTCTGCACACTCCCAGATCATATCTTTATATTTTTCTAGCTCCTAGGTTTCATTTCTATATCTTTACTTTTGGGGAAAAGAGGCCCTTCAGTTTTTAGATCTTTAATTTGACTGTCTACTTTATCAGCTTATTTTGTTATTATGGTCTATGGCAGGGCTGTCAAACTCCTGGCCAATGGGCTGGCCATGTCACACACTGGCCATGCCCATGCCCGTTTTAGCGAAGGGGAAAAAAGTCCCCATACATCATGTGATGATGCCGTGACGACGTGAGTTTGACATCCCTGGTCTATGGTCTCTATTTACTCAATGTTCTTCTCCATAAGTCTTACATGTAGTCCTCAACTTGCAACAGTTCGCTTAGTGACTGTTCAAAGTTACAACGGTACTGTGACCTATTTTTCACACTTATGACCATCCCCATGGTCACATGTTTTACATTTCAGTTGCTTGAAAGCTGACTCGCATTTATAATAGTTGCAGTGTCCCGAGGTCATGTGATCACCTTTTGCAACTCAATGGGGAAACCAGATTCACTCCACAACCATATTACTAATTTTAACAATTCTCTTAACAAAATGTGGCAAGAAAAGTCATAAAGTGGGGCAAAACTCACTTAACAAATTTCTCACTTAGCAACATAAATTTTGGGCTCAATTGTTGTGGAGTTGGGATCGTAGAAACACCCAGGAGCATAGAAGAGTTCAGAGGCAGATGCATAAATAAATGTCTTAAACGTATTTATTCATATGATAAAGCATATTAACTATGTACAACAGAGATCAAGTCTCATGAGGAACAAACATGAAAAGAGAGAGATGGAGAGAGCAAGGTAGAAAAGGTTGGAGGGGGGTTTATACTCAGGGTAAGCCCCTCCTTTCCACATAGGGGTGGAGACACTCTCTGCCTCCACTGGTGTCTGTATGACACATGTGCCAATGGCTTGCAAATACTTGACAATTGTGGTCATAAATTGAGGATTACCTGGGGTTTTTTTTGTTGTTGTTGCTTTAAACAACAGCACCCTTCTAGTCTACAGTTGCAGAACCTTGATATCAAAATTTTAACTTTATTAATAACTCAAAAACTTTCTTGCAACCATTGGGGTGCATAATTACCAGTTATGGTAAATTTTTAAGATTCTTAAATATACAACTTGCAAAATAGAGTTAAACGTTTGAATTAATCAGAAAGAATCGTTCCAGTGATCCTGACCTTCCAGCATTTGTCATCTTTTATGCTACTAAAGCCTGCAAGCATTGTTATATCAATAGTACTAAAGCAGACTCCTAACAGTGCCAAACTCAGCAAGAAGAGTCAGCACTATAGGCTTTGATCTAACTCTTTTGATTTTTCCCTAGAAAGTAAGAAAGGCAAACACTGCTCCTGCCAGCAATTTTCCATTGCCTAAAGACAAACATATGAAAACCTGCTGATGTCAGCTCTGATCGTCTTGCCACCAACCAAATGGTAAGTTATCGAGGGACAAATGCAAATATTCATAGTCACACTTGCATCCCTCATAATGTAACTAGACACTGCTGCTCATTTTTGGTAATAACACTTTATTTTTAGCTGTAGTAGCATGTCTTATAGCTGCTTTGGTCTTTGTGTTTTCTGACTTCCTTTCCTCGAATCCAGATATAGAGCTTTTTTCATTATTGAGGGAAAGGTTGGGAAGAGATGCAGGAGGCTGACTTGTCCCGGGTTAGATGATGGACATCTGCAGCAAACCAAGATCATGTCAAAATGATGGCATGCCCATGTAGACATCACTACACAATTCCCATCATAGTGTACGTGTGTCCGATGAAAGCATGAGTATGTATGTGTGTGATGGCATTGTGAGACATGTGTCACCTCATACAGATACCAATGATTTTGTTAAGTACAAAATATTGAATCAGTTATAATTAGTTGCATTCTCTTAACGCACTTAAGTGAAATCAACAAATTAAGACCTTTTTAAAATTCTAAAAGGATCAGAAATAGAATGCTCATGTTTCCAACACAAGCTGCATGGACACTGACAATCTCATGCAATATACCAGAGGTGGGTTTCAGCAGGTTCTGACCAGTTCTGGAGAACCGGTAGCGGAAATTTTGAGTAGTTCGGAGAACCAGTAGTAAAAATTCTGACTGGCCCCACCCCCATCTATTTTCTGCCTCCCAAGTCCCAGCTGATCGGGAGGAAATGGGGATTTTGCAGTAACTTTCCCCTGGAGTGGGGTGGGAATGGAGATTTTACAGTATCCTTCCCCTGCCACGCCCACCAAGCCATACCCACCAAGCTACGCCACGCCCACCAAGCCACGCCCACAGAACCAGTAGTAAAAGAATTTGAAACCCACCACTGCAACATACTGTATGTGACCAAAATGTAGCTAGCTAGTTTGTGGCTTAGTGTTTTATATAAATTTGACAAGTGTGACTAGTTTATACTTTTTGTTCGTTTGTTAGATTCATATCCCATCATTTCTCCAAGAGTTGAAGATGGTATATTCTCTTATGATCTTTACTACAACTGCTACTCTGTGAATTGGGTTGAGCTGAAACTACTACTTTGAGAATTGGGTTGTCTTAGCAACGAATCCAAAATCACCTAGTGAATTTCCATGGTTAAAGGTAGATTTAAGTCTAGTCCAACACTTTAACTACAGTTCAATGAATTTATCAGTAAATCAGGCTGTCTAATCCAACATTCTGTGCCACAAAGCAGCCAGCTATCTCTAGTCAGTTCCTGGCTACAGGCAACAGATCAATTACGAACGAAGGTGAATATACGTGTCCCAGGATGTTGCAGGATCCAATCTGGCAAACCTCTGATCCCGGTGACCGACCCAGATTGGATCCTGCAATAGATCAATTGTCTTCCTCCATTTCTAGTCCTCAGCAACTGGTGTTCAAGGTAATCAGCCTATGATCTACAGATAGCAAACAAGTCAGCAAGATGAGCAATCATTGTTACTCCAATCCTTATGTGTTTGTCCACTATCATGTCTTCCATTAGCTATCTTTTTAAAAAATAAACTCAGAAAATTGGATTAACTCAATAGTGTTTAGTTCAATTCACCATTGTTTTCCAAATACAGCAACTTCATTCTCAGTACAATGTAGTAGGAACAAAGCCTGTGAGCGGAGTCAAGAGAGGAATCAGTCTGGAGTTGTTATGTTGCCACAACTGATCCAAGTTTCCCCCCCCCCCCTTGAATTCCATTGACTCTTATCTAGGACCAATTTAATGCTGATTGTTACTTGAGTAAAGGTGTAGCCCTGATTCTTCATGTCTGATAGTATGCCACTGTAATTTGCCTATACCAGGTCCTCAGGAAGGAATCAATAGGTGGATAAAAATGCCAGATGTGGTGCAAAGATCTGGTTGGCTTTGTAATAATGATTATGCTTTTTTTGATAAAATCATATATTTTCATTTATAATTGCTGTGTGCTTTCGTTCTGATCATATGTGCTACCATTTTAATCTCAGTTTATCCCTTTATCCCCATGACCTTGATTATTTTCAATTATTTGGTACTCATTTAACATTATTCTGTCTTGTTCTTTCCTTACTAATCATAGCTTTGTTGAGTCAGGAAGGATGTATGGTTTCTTAGAAAACAGAATTTCTCATTCAGCCACGTTTGCATGACTTAGCTGAATGGGAGCCTCCTTTGAGAAGGATATATATCCATCCAGAAAGAATTATTTATACAAGATCCAAGCACACCTTGCTGATTAAACTGAAAGGCTCAGACTCTGGTGCCTCAGAGTCTCTTGCATTCAAGCTGAAAGGATTTCTTTCCTTCCCTGTGAATACTATATGAAATTACTAATTACATTTCTTGCTACAAATGTACTTTCTGTGGTGCAAGCAATGTATACTATAAAATACGGCAAGTGACATACCAAATTTAAGGAATTTAGAGTGGATTTCTTTGAAACTAGCAAAGCAATTTTCCATTACTAATAGGACAGACAATAGGAGATGTATTTTATTCTTCATTCCTTTGTTCAATTTATTTTAAGAAGAAATACATGGACTGGGAAGGAAGCCACAGTATTTTGAACAGAGAGAGATGAATGAAAATTATGAAAGTTTTTAAAATTTTCCAAACAGAATGCACTTGTCTGACTAGGTGGCAGTGAATAATCTTAGCAATTAGGCCTAATAAATGTGAGTTTTGTGAAATTCTCCATGGCAAATCTTTGTGAGAATCTCCACAATGTTCTCTAGAAATGCTACTTTTCCCAAGAGACTGAAGTTTCCTGTTGCAGAAGCTAAAAGAATTACTCTGAACAAATAACAAAACATTCGTCTTTCCATTATTTTTGTATATAAACCTTCTCTTTCTCAGTCCATGCACCCATACTTGCAAAAGTCTTCTGAATATTATGGTTCGGGATGCTTTATAGTGAGTATACACATAAAAACACAGGCATTTAGCTGTACTGAGATAAATAGGCCTGAGCATATCAGTTAATGACCAATATTTTATTAAGAATACAAACTTTCTTGATACTAATCAGTCTGCTACCCATCTCAAATCCTGCACCTCCTAAAGATTAGGCTTCAAAATCTTATCCAAGAAGTTTCTCTTGATCCAGGACTGTCCACACAGGAGGGAGTGAAAAAAATCCATCTAACACAAAAAAATCCAAAGTGTTCTTAAAATATTAAACTACTCTTCCCCAAAGATGTCAATAATTCACAAGACCAAACCATACAAATCAATAATTTCTATTTTTTTAACATTACCAACAAAAAAAAAATCTGATATCTATCCTTTCAATTACATTCCTTAAAATGTCCAGTAGAATTAAAAAAAATATTTTAATGAATCAATTTTAACTTTAAAAACTTTCATACTAATTTGACATTTTTCAGAGTAGCAACCACTATTGTGCCATTATTACAATGTTCTTGATGAGCCATAAAAGTTATTAGTATCACCTTTAAAAATAATTAGTTTTTAATACAGGTAGTCCTTGACGTATAACCACAATTGAGCCCAGAATTTATGTTGCTAAGTGAAAAATTTGTTAAGTGAGTTTTGTCTCATTTTGTGATTTTTCTTGCCTCATTTGTTAAGCGAATCACTGCTAAATTAGTAACCCGGTTGTTAAGTGAATTTGCCTTCTCCATTGACTTTGCTTGTCAGAAGATCACAAAAGGGGATCACAGGATCTTGGGACACAATAATCGTCATAAATATGAACCAGCAGCTGCTGAACACAGTAATGGTCATAAATATAAACCAGCAGCTGCTGAACACAGTAATGGTCATAAATATGAACCAGCAGCCAAGCCTCTGAATTTTGATCGCAAGATCATGGGGATGCTGGAAATGTCATAAGTGTGAAAAATGGTCATAAGTCACTTTTTTCAGTACCATTGTAAGTTTGAACAGTCACTAAATGACCTGTACACATGTAATATGGGTTTAGTTTCAGACATTGATTCAAAAGTATTTGGTCTATGTTCAGTGCCCAAAACATGTTTGAGATGATTACCACTACTGTGGATTAGAGGCAAAATTTGATTCAAAGTCAAGAAAAATCCTTAAATAGTTATTGCAAAGTTTGTATTGTATGCAAGATGCTTTCCATAGTTTCCAATGGAACATTTTAAAGTACAGTATGCATTCACGTTCATCTACATCAAAATCCAAGCACCCATTTCATAATGATGAGTCCACACATTTCATTAAGCTATGGTTTGCTTATTTGTAATTTACTCTATAGTTGGCAGAGGATGAAATGCAAGCGAAGTCATAAAACATTCCTTGCAATATCAATTTTCATCTATCCCAAATTAAAAAAAGTACTTTATGACTTACTGTATTACATGTAACATAAAACCCGTATCATTTGTTTTCATACTTTGACGCCCTTGACAAATCATTTGTCTCAGTGAGTGTGAAATAAATTATTTTTTTTACTAAACTCCATTTTCCAGAATCCTTTTACACACTTACACACATCTTTTTTATAGCGTGGTAACCAAAACTATATAGAATATTATAAGTGTGGTCTCACCAACACATTATAAAGTGGCATTAACACTTATGATCTTGATTCTATCCCTCTGTAATGCAACCTAGCACTGTGTTGGCTTTTTTGGCAGCTGCAGCACCCTGCTGACTCATATTTAAGTGATTGTCCACTAGGACTCCCTCTCATACTTACTGAGTGAGGAACCACCTATTCTATACTTGTGTATTTAGTTGTTCTTGCCTAATTGTAGAAACTTACTTTTCTCATCATTGAACCTCATTTTGTTAGATAGGACCCAATGTTCAAGTCAAGATCCTTCTTCACCTATTATTACACACACAGGTGCCTGAGCCTGGCACTTACTGAGGTTTGAATTCAAACTGTTAATCAAGTGCTTGGATCAAATTTGGATGCCTTTCCTTGTTATCAGGAAGAATAAATTATTTCAGGTTGTTTCACCTTAATTTGCCATCAGCAATTCCCATTCCTATTCTTCGCCCAAATCATAGGCAGTCTATTACTTATACCAAGTCTAGTTTTGCAAATGTTCGCATTTGTGGTCTTTTCATCTAACACAAAGCTTCCCCAATTGTAGTGTTTTGACCCAGTTCCTTTATATAATACACATGCAAGGGGGATGGACTTCTTTTTTAGTTCTTGCAAATTCTTGTCCAACTCCTTTTTAATCTGTATACGGTTAACTCTAGTTATTCAGTACTGTCAACACTGGCAGGTCACAAGAGTGAGGAAGTCAGCTGATTCTTAGGACTGCTAGTAGTATTTCCTCGCCTGTTTCCTTACGTCATGGACTTCCTCAGTCATCCAGGCTTGCTTGTCTACAGCTGAGTCAATTTTTCTCTCTGTCACAGTATCAAATAGTATGATTTATTCCCAGTTTCTTCTGCAAAATGTTTTCCTGACATCAATATTATTGTTCTTCCTCATTCAATACAAAATAAATTTGCATAGGAAGAGGACTGCAATTTTGTTTCTTTTAGCTGAAAGAGTAAGATATTTTGAAGGAAATAGAGACCAACAATAGATAGCCTATTTATTTATATCCTAACAATTAAAGACAACAAACACATTCAACACACCTTCCTCCTTCTATTTTCCCCATAATAACAACCCTGCAAGGTAAATTGGACTGAGAGTGACTGGCCCCGAGGCCAATGCGGTAGTTCCCATATATTCCCATAGAATACCTTATGCAGATAATCTCCAAGATATACCTCCAGCTAAATGTTTTCATTTCTTCTCCATATTTCCCTCATACATATCTGCAAATCTTATTGACAGCAAATTAGCATGCAATATTATGAACAAAATTCAGAGCACTTATTCATAGCTCCTAAGCCACTTACACTAGGAATAATTTTTAAATCATGTGAACATTACATCCAAACTGAGAGATGGAACTTATAATGTAACAAATCTTAAGAGGGGAAGCTATCGGAAATAATTCATTGTTTTGTTGTCACAAAATTAACTATTGTACTTTTTTTTCAGATCTTCCTGAAAGTCATCAATCTTTTTTCAAAATATCCAACTTAAATAAAAGTAATTTATAGGAAAAATTGTGCCTTAACATTGTTTCAGAGAATTCTGACAGCATTTTGGAAGATCCCTCAAGATGACTGACAATTCTATATTCCATACCATAGCTCTAAAAGATATTGAATATTAGAAAATATTGTAGTAACAATATGAGAACAACTTTATTCTGACATTATTATACCATTATTTTTTCACTGTTTTCATTTAAAAGAAAAAAAATATTACTTTTTGATTTATATATTTATCTTATTCTATTTTTGCTAGAAAAGCACTCACAATGTAAAGGCAGATCATAATTATAGCTGTGCTAACACAAAACTTTTATTCATGTCATGTTAACCAAAGTTCACTCAACCCAATTTTCTGGTTTGTATGGTCCCCTAAATCATAGAGTTACCATACAGGCTATGTTTGAAGAAGACACAACACACTAAAATGCATCTTGCAGGTGTCAAATTTTTGAGTGCAATTAAAAGTGGTGTTGAAAGAAAAGTGCTCTATGTTAATTTGCCACAGATAAGGAGAAGAAATGATTGCTTTTGAATGAGATATGGAATTTCATATTCCAGCTGAATTTAATATATCTACTGCAACAGTGGAGGTGAAATAGTCTAGAAACGTCTGTTTAAGCCTTCACATACTTCAGTTTTGCATTTATGAAGGGAAATAGCACTTATAAATTTGGCATTTATATATATCAAATGTATGTAGGTAAAGCTGTTGTACAGTCAGATGAAAGGGGTTCTGAGCAACATGCGTTCTGCACTTTTCATTCCTTCCTTCCTTTCAGTCTCAGGCCAGCAGAGTACTAGTATTAGTTTCACTGAGAAAGATTATAATAAAGCTCAAAAACTGATAACATTTGCCAGTTCTAGGCAAATGCTTTTCCAGAGGTTGGATTTTTAACAGGAAGTGCCAACGAAGTTGAGTTCTCTTATAGACAAAATATGGGGTTAACCATGAGCTACAGGAACAGTGTGCATCCTAAGCAATGTTTGACAGTTTGCAAGAACCTCTGCTTCAGGAAAGCTTAGAAGATGTGACAGATCTTTTCACTGAACAAACAATTCCCTAGAAAACAGAGAGCCATTAATTCAGTCAGATACATGACTTCCACCCTGATGTCTTGATCATCTTTAAAAGAAATTGGCTATTCTTCCAGGTGTTGGATAAAGTAGTGATAGAGCCCATTCGTTACATTTTATGATACACAGAATGTGGTTTTTCTGGTTGCAAATTTTTCCTTTCTTATTGTTTCCTATCTTTTTAATATCCAGGTTTGTTCTGGAGTTGGTTGCCATGTAATTAAATTGTAATAAAAATAAAATCAATAAGAAGAGTGCCCAGTGAAGTGGGTTAGTCTGTGTTGTTATTAAATAGCAATTATAATGTGCAGCAAAGTCTTTTCCTTGTAATTAAAAAATGTATAGAAAATAGAAAGGTATGTTTCAGCCATATGAGAAAAGGAGGAGGTGGTTGGAATTGGACAGCCTTAACAAATCAAATTAAATCCAATCAATAAAAATCAATAGAACTGCCTCCTAGGCAACTTCTCAGGTGTCCTTTGGAAACTCAAAAGTGCTTAGAACAGGCCAATTTACTAGGTCCACACACATCCCTTCCCACAAAGGTCAGTGGTGGGCATTAGTCTCAAAATGACAATGACCTGATTGTGACAATGGATAATTTCTACTTTTAGATCACCTATATTAACAACAGGAGAAAGCACTACATGACTGCCTTCATTCTCGTTTTGATTCATCCTATGAAGACAGCCAGCAGTTATTCTGTGGGATTCACATCAGCTACTGGGAATTGAACCCATGGAGTCTTGCCTTTTAGAAGACTACAGATAGCTTTGAGGTACTTGGTGTTCTCTCAGCTTGTTTTCTTGCAGATGTTTCATTACCAAACTAGGTAACATCATTGTTGCTCTTGCTCTTTGAAATATCTTATCCCCAGAGGTGAAATTGGCTCCCACTGGTCTGACATAAGACCCTTAAGACCTGACACTGCCAGATGGCTTGGGATCCCAACAAAGGAATGACACACTGGAGGTGGTTGATTAATTAAGAGCCATTCCACCCCCTCAATCAGACTCCTTCCTGTCCTATCATGTGACTATGATTTTATTTTGATTGTAATGTCATTTTATTCAGAGACGAATATTTATTTCTGATGAGTTTAATATTTCTATGCTATAGGATACAAAGAGTTACTTCGAAACGAGATGGGCTGCAAATAAATGTAATAAATAATGAAATAATAATTTGTGTTATGTTACCTATTATGGCAATGAAGCGTCTGCAAGAAAACAAGGGAACACCAAGGACCTCACAGTTCAACCCTGAGCTACAGATAATTCTTTTTTATTGGTATATGCAGCTTTACATGTCAGCTTTAGGAGTAATCGAGGTTCTGTTGCCTGCATCCAGCAATCTGTGAACAATGTATTGGGCCACTGCCAGAATCTCACCACCACTGAGTTGGCAGAGAAATATAATGAATGCCAATTTAGCTAATTTAAGAAATGCCTTTACATTCTTTGGTTGTTTCTTTTCTGCACCTTGCACAATACTATCTACCCTGAAAAGAAATAGCATAGTAAGACCACTACATCTCATTTAGTTCTCTGATATAGGATCCCATTATATGTATACCATACATTCACAGTTTAGATATATACATTCATAATCTAGTTAATTTGCTGTAGTATGTCTGGACACAAAACAAAGGAGAGAGAAAAAGAGGAAAACATCTCATTATTGCATAACCTGAAAAGGAGTAATAGCAATAGCACTTACACTTATATACCGCTGTACAGCCCTCTCTAAGCTGTTTACAGAGTCAGCATATTGCCCCCAACAATCTGGGTCCTCATTTTACCCACCTTGGAAGGATGGAAGACTAAGTCAACCCTGAGCCTGGTGAGATTTGAACTGCAGGCAGTCAGCAGAAGTAGCCTGCAGTACTGCACTCTATCGACTGCATCACCTTGGCTCATAATATGATGGGTATGAATGTATGCTGGGTATATGATGGGTATGAATATATCATGCTTTGGTATGGAAAGCATCCCTGTCATAATGACAAAGCCCTAAACAATTCAAAATGTCCATCCTGTATGCACCGCTGAATGATTGTTCATTAGGAGCAGAATGTTACCAACCGGGCCGGGGGCATATTACACTTTCAGCCACAAAATAGTTTGCTTTCTTTGCTTTTATGGACGTATGTGAAGCCAGGAGGTTACAGATATCATGGCTTAGTAGTTCAATATGCAATGAAAACAGGGACATTCTGGCTGGGGCCCTTTGCTGTGCAAACACCAATCGAAGATCTAGCTATTCATTCAAATAGACCCCTAGTTTGTTTTATAGGGGGGGGGGATTCCTGTTTGGGGGATTCGTTTCACCGGCTGAATCCTCCCGTGGGTTCTGCGAGTAAATAGAGAATAGTTATTTTAATATGGGTGGGTTTTTGTTTTTTTTAAAAAAGATAAAATCATATTTTTTTTAAAGAATTCCGCTGCATTCCTGTGATATCAATGTATCCTAACATTCAACCCCACCCCGGCACGTCACGACCACTCAGGCAGGCCAAAGTCAGGTGCGGCCGACGTGCTGCTCGCGCCCTCGCTCTCCGCTCCCGCCGCCGCCGCCGCCTTTCTCCAGCTGTAGTGCTGGCTTCCCTTTCCTCCTCCTCCTCCTCCTCCTCCTCTGTGGGTGTTGCCACCCTTTGCGCTTCTCACAGCAGGCCTTGCCCGGCTCTGTACCCAAACGCCTCAGCTCCAGCGGACTCCCCCCCACCCCCACCTCACGGTTTCTCCAGCTGAGAAACCTCCTGGCCTCGCTCGCTCCCCTGTAGGCAAAGGCACCGTTCAGGGTGGACCGGCCCGAGCTGAGGCGGCGACGGGCGCACGCGCCGGCCCTCCCTCGCGCAACCACCCCGGAAAATTCCCCCCTCTTTTCTCCGCCTCCTTTTTGCTGCCGAGAGAGCCACAGCGCGGGCGCGGGCAGCCTTTCGCCTCCCGACGGCGGCGGCGGCGGCGGCGTCGCTCGTGCACCCGAGCGCCCCCAAGAGAGCCACACGCAGCCAGGCGCGGCAGGAAAGGCACGGCGCGCTCGGGCTGCCTTGCCTGCCTGCCTGCCTCCCCCCACCCCTTTGCCTGCTTCCCCACCTCCCGCGCCTCCGCCTCTGCCCTGCCCTGCGCCTCTTGGCCGCAAGCAGCTGCACTAGCCTCGGGCCCCGCCTGTTTCTCCCTGGCGCGGGAGAGGCGGAGAGCCAAGCAGCCCACGAGCAGCAGAGGAAGCCGCTGCTACCGCTGCCGCCGCCGCCGCCGGGAGGGGGAAGAATAAAAAAAAAAAGAAACAAAACAAAAAAAAGAAAAGCCGCCTCGCCGCCTTCCCTTTTCCTGTGGCTGAAACATGGGTAAGTCGTCCCGAGCCCGGCAGGTCAGTTTCGTTTCTCCCGGGCTCCCGTCAAGGTCCGCTGAAGCATCCCCTCGAGCGGGGTCCTCGCTTGCGCTAAAGGGACAGCCGGCAGCCCTTTAACCAAACCCGCCTGAAGGGACGGATGGGAGAGGAATAGGAGGACGGCGGCGTTGGAGCAAGTCGGGGCGCGTTTTTTTTTCCCCCTTGCACCCTCCCTCTTTTTTGGGGGGGTGGGGGGGTGGTAATCCTCCATGGATTAAACCCCCCCCTCCTCGTCCTCCGTCTCGCTCTCATGTCCGAGTAACGGGAGAAGGAAGCCGACTACTTGTAACTTCCTCATCCGCACATCCCTTCGCTTTCGGATTCCGCGGGGGAGCCGGAAAAAGCAAATGTGGTTTTTTTTTTTTCTCTCCCACCGCCCTCAGTTGAAATGTCGGGGCTTTCTCGTGACGCTGCTCGGCCAGGATGTCCGTAGAGGGCTGCTGCAGGTACCCTGAGTGACCTTAGTCCAGCCGGGGATGGTTTGAGGTGGCACTTCTACTGCGAAGAAGGTCTTTCAAAGACAGAAAGGAGGAGCTGGGAATGGGGAAAGAGGTGGTCTTGAGTTCAGGTCTCCCGTCCTGCCAGCTTATCAATAACAAGGAATCCCAGTTTTCTAAGGAATCGCCATTAACATTTTCCAAAAATCAGTTGCCAAGTTTCCCCGTTATTTCATGCTTGGCTTATCTGAGCTGGACATCCTTTCATTGAAGTAAACTCTCAGTTTGGCTGTAGATCTAAGACTTTTGTTTCCTGAGCATTGTGGGCATTTGTTGTCACTGGGTAAGGTAACCTCGTCCTTACAAGGGCTCTTGTATACATCATTAGATTGTTCTTACTAAGGATGAGGAACAGGGGTTACTTCAGACAGGATTGTCTGTTATGGAAAGAAAGACATGACTGCATCGTCGTTTGGTAAAACAGTCAATTAAACTTCACTAAATGTCTTAAGGGAAAAGCTGCACTGGTCGGGGATACCACTTACTAACTCAGCATTTCCAGGCCACTCTTGCCCAAATGTCAATTGTGCTGAAGTTCCTTGGGACTGTTTTACCACTGAGTACATGATGCATAACCACTTGGATCAAACTACTGTAAGGAGGCCTAGTCTGGATCAGTGCCTGGAAGGGAATCCATCTGGTTATGGAGTATAAAGTCACCTTGAATTCCAATATAGTTGGAATTATTCGAATATAGTAAGGAAAGAAATACGTAAAATGGTTCCATGCCGTTTGCTTGTTTTTAGACTTATTATCTGCCCCCTTTGCATAAGTTGTCTTTTCAAGAAATGCTTTGAGTTGTGAAAGGGAGAGAGTGATTAATGCAATATCATAATCCCTCATTTTACGCAAACAGTGCCACTGAAATAATCTACCTTGAAATACCAGGACTAGTGGTTTTTTTTTAATGTGGCCTGTTCATTTCATTAATTAGTCATTGCTGTATTTTTTTTTCCCCAAACACTCAGGTTGAGAACTGTATGCCAAACCTATTCTTGCCTTTTTTTTTCAGAAGCTGTTGATAGTAGTATGGACAAACAAATAAGAGCAATCTCACTAGTGGCTTTAACAGATGTACGAGAGATGATTCTTAAATTTCACACCAAGAGTTCTGGAACTTTTATGGGCAACAATGTTCATAAAGGGAAACCATTTCCTTGCAGAAAGTAAAAATGCTTTTGTTTTATTGTTGTTGTTTTTTGCACTATCTCACTTTGCAGGATAAAATATTATATAGCTTCTTTGGAACTCCACAAACCATTTTGCTTCTGGAGTAGCCAGGAGACTCTCAGCCCTTGGCTGTCCCCGTTGCTAATCTGTGCCCTGCCTCGATTGCATTTATACCAAGTATCCGCTGAAGGATGTTGTAT